AAGAAGAAGAAGAAGAAGAAGAAGAAGAAGAAGAAGGAGAAGCAGCAGCAGAAGAAGAAGCAGGTGTGGTCTGGAGAGACCACTCAGTGGTCACAGAGACCAGAGTGTCAAATCCCCGGGGAATGAAGTGACAGCGAGCCACCCGACCTTGGTGCCGGAACTGAACTTCTCGGTAGGAGCAGTAGATGCCCCCAGGGCCATTTCTCCAGCCCCTCAGTTTAAAATTTTTAATGATTATATGCATTTACAGAATTTAAGAAATACGTCTGTGCTTTCTCCCCCCGCTTCTGAGCAGTTTTGGAGACTTACTTTGAGACCCACCACATACATACTAGACAACCAATCCGGCAGTGACCCACACACAGCAGCCTGAGCTCAGAAGCGGCAATCTCCTCCATGGGCCTCCTAGGTGCTCAAGTACCAGGACCACCACGCGTTAGCACTCGACACTCTTTACAACCCTGCCATCTTCTCCCTGTTCACCAACCACATACGTCTCCCCAGGAAGGCCTAAGCAAGGCTACAAGAGCTGCCCATGTGAAAAGTGTTTCAGAGTCCCTTTCAGGTTGACCTCACACAATCCATAAAGTAATCATTTTCAGCACAACATACCAAAAGCCAACACACACACACACACACACACACACACACACACACACACACACACACGCGCGCGCGCGCGCGCACCCACGCACACGCACACGCACACGCACACCCCAGGGTGTCTCCATGCTCTGACAAGGCTGTCTACTTGGAGGAGTGCTGCGGGGAAGCGGCCTGTATTTCAGCAGTGAATAAAGACTCCAAGATCCCTTTCTGGAGCAACTGAGATTCTGTCACGAACGGCATTCAAACTTACCCTCCTCTTCCTTGCATTCATCTTTTGCTTAGACTCCTTGACGAAGGCATTGTAGGACGGGACCTCTTTGGCATCGATGGCTTGTTGAATGATGTTTCTTATCCGGGGCTCGTCTGTGTATTGCACACAAAGCACAGACTCCATGATCTGATCCATGTCGCCCTTGAAGTCCAGGTAGGCCTGCTTAATATCGGCTAGCTCTTCTTCAGAGCCTTTGTATGTGTTCTCAAAAGCCTGAATGTCCTCTAGCGATATCTAATAACAAAGAAGATCGCTTTAACTTCGAGAACTTTACTTGTGGACTGGACGGTGGGAATTAGTCAAAGCCTCTAAAGCCCCTTTACCTTTTTAAAAAGTAACCTCCAATACGCATCCCAGTCCCGGTCTTGGTTGAGGCCAGCAGTGTCCTCGTCCACTGTCCCCTGCTCATCGTACACGGCTCTCTGCTCCTTGTCACTCAGAACCGCATAGACTCTCCCCAAGATCTGCCGGCGAAGAGCATCCAAGAGTCACCCTGAACCTCCCGCCGACACCGTGTGGCTAGAAATGCTTAAAAACGCCAGGCCGGGGGTCGGCAGTGCGCTGCCCCGGGGGTGGGGTCGCCGCCAGAGCGGCGGAAGTCTGGGTGGCCCCGCAGGGACACCGGCCCACATACCTGGAAGCGGCGGGTGGCATCCTCTTTCTGGTCCGGGTCTACACGGTCCGGGTGCACTTGCAGGGACACCTTGTGGTAACCGCGCCGGACCTCGCCGTCGGACGCCTCGCGCCGCACGCCCAGCACCCGGTAGAGGTCGGCGGTGCCGAACACCTGCTCGCACAGCTCCAGCAGCCCCATGTCGGGGAAGAGGCTGCTCCGCCGACGCCGGGAACCCGCACCCGCCGGCCGCTCCGCCCGCCGTCAGCCGCTTTTTCCCGCCCAAACAGCCTCGGGCGCCTGCGTCACAGGAGGCGCAAGGGGGCGGGGCCAGCCGCGCTTTACGGCAGCCGCAAAACGGACTCGCTCTCGCCCGCGAAGTAAACTACGGCCCTCCCCGTGCGGACTGCGGCGGCGTCTGCCGGAGGGGAGCCGCGGCTCGCCACGCCCGCACTCCCCCCCTACCCCGAAATCTGCCCCCCACCCCCAGGATTCCTGCACAGAAGCTCGCTCAATGACACATGAAAGCATTTACCAGTGTCCCGATAAGAAGCGGTTACTCGGGCTGGCGAGGATGCTCAGCCACACCTGACGACCTCCAGGACCCGTCAAGTTGTCTTCCGACCTCCACACGACACAGCACAGAAAATAAGCAAATGTAATACGAGTGGTCGTGTATTAGCGCTGAGAAATTTAATATGCTCAACTCAAAGTTAAAGTAACGTGTGTGTGTGTGTGTGTTTAAAAATGGTTCTCAAAGCGGTACAACTACAGGCTCAAGTGACATCATCTGGGATGAATCCCTCAATCTCTGCAGAAAAAGCCTGTGTTGAACAGAATGCACACAACACAGCTTTTAAGAACACCTTCTATCCCAGGACCATGCACATTTGACCGCACAGAATTAGTCCCACTCGCCTGCTCCAGTCCTCTCGCTTTCCGTGTACATTACATACTGACTCAACCTCTCATTTTAAACACTGCAGTGTCTTCTCAGCTTTTCCTCTCCTCGATCTAGAAATCAACGCCAACTCTCAGTCCCTGTCTACTCTCAAAGTCCCCTCATGCCAAGTGAAGGAAAACCAGCAGCCACCTTGGAGAAGCCTCAACTTCAGAACGTGCATTAGCTAGCAAATGGTTTCAGAACCCAGATAAGACAAGCCAGAGCATTAGCAGACCTTAGAACCTTCCAGATACCTTAGTGTTACTCTAAATTTGAAACCTATATTATCTAGCATGTGAAAAACAAACATGTGAAGGAGACACCCACCGCTGCACAGTGGGGGGTCCCTCTCAGACCCTGGATCAGGCACAAACCACACCCAAACACCTGTTTACACAGAGATCCTTTATTAAATGGGGAAGAAAAGTTAAAGTGGCTGCTTTCTGACTGAGGCAGAAAATACCAGCAAATGACCTTTCAGGTATGATTTTTTTTTTTTTTTTTTGGTTTTTCGAGACAGGGTTTCTCTGTGTAGCTTTGCGCCTTTCCTGGAACTCACTTGGTAGCTCAGGCTGGCCTCGAACTCACAAAGATCCACCTGCCTCTGCCTCCCGAGTGCTGGGATTAAAGGCGTGCGCCACCACTGCCCGGCTTCAGGTATGATTTTTAAGAAGAGAAAAAGGGGAGGCCTGTGTTAGAATGGGTTAGAAGGCTGTGGTGTATTTTGATTGGCCATGTTAATTTGGTGAACCAAAGGGAACTTTTGATGGCTGAACTTTATTATACTTTGATAGCCAGACCTTGGTAGTCAGCCTGAGGAGGAGGAAGTGGCCAAATAAGGGAATTACCTTGGTCGATAACTTTAGAAATGTAATCTAAGGTTTTCAGCAAGATAGAAGGAATTGGGGAGAAGGGGAAGGCCTGTCAGGGCCACATGCTGGAGTGGGCTAGTGTCCCTTCCCCATGTAATTCATACCTATAGCTGCAGATTCCTATTGCTCTGGTGAAGCGGGTTAGATTTGATTTCATACAGCCTCTCACTCATCTAAACACAACAGCTCTATCACTGACTTTCTTCTGTGCATGATGTGTCTATGTGTGCACATTGGTGTGTGTGAGCTAAAGTGGGCCTGTGCACGCTACATCTCATGTGTGGAGGCCAGGGGAAGACCTTCGGTATCAGTCTTTACTTTGGACCTCATTTGGGACAAGGTGTCCTCCGTTATTTTACCAAGGTGCTCATCAGCTGGCCTGTGTCTGAAGATCCCTTTGCCTCTCCCTCCCATGTCCCTGTAGGATACTGTTATTGCAGACTCTTCCACTTCCTGTTACATGAGTTCTAAGGATTTGAACTCAGGACCTCGGAACTGCATGGTAAAGCACTCCCCCCCCCCCCATCTCCTAGGCCTCTATCACTAACTGTGGAGAAGCCCTCTTATCACTACTTTCCCCTCACATAGGCAACAGTACATGTAGAAGGCTTTGTAGGTAGACCTATGGGGTCTGAATCCCAAGTTAACATGGAAGTTTCCCACTCTTGAGGTGCAGCCTCCCTCCTCATCTGTAAATGTGGATATAAGTGACCTACGGTTGTGTTGTGATACTTGTAATACACAAGCAACTTCCCAGTCCAGAGTTGACTATACAAAGGGGCTTTGTATCAACTTCCTTCTAACTACTCTCTTAAAAGGCAGTGGAGCATGCCTTTAATCCCAGTATTAGGCAGGCAGATCTCTCTGAGTTTGAGGCCTGGTCTACAGAGTGACTAGGTCAGTCTGGGCTGTTACACAGAGAAACTCTGTCTCAAAACAACAACACACACACAAACAAAAAGGTAGAGTAGTAAAACCCCAAAGCAACTTTTATACCTGTCTCTATAAACCTTAGATCATATGTCAAGAAAACAATATAAATCTCCACTAACATAAGCAATAAACTTCTTGGGCTTTGGGAGGATCCCAAGTGGTAAAGGAAAGATGTGGGCCAGGCAACAGTAGCTCTGCCTGTAATCCCCAGCACTCAGGAGAGAGGATCAAGAGGATGGCTGCAGGTTCAAGGCCAGGCTGGTCTACAGATCACACGTAACAAGCTCCACGCTGGTTTTTGGTTTTTCGAGACAGGGTTTCTCTGTGTAGCTTTGCGCTTTTCCTGGATCTCGCTCTGTAGACCAGGCTGGCCTCGAACTCAAAAAGATCCGCCTGCCTCTGCCTCCTGAGTGCTGGGATTAAAGGTGTGTGCCACTACCGCCCGGCAAGACCCTGTCTTAAAGAAAGCATCTGAATGGGCCAAGCACATCTGGTTGAGGACTCTGAAGCAGGCAAGTACTGAAAGGCAGCAGATTGTCAAGTTGTCCATGTGATCAGGGCCTACCCCGAATTACAAGGTACCCACTGAAGGTACCCACTGAATTACAAGGTAAGGCAGGAAGCCTAGCAGGTATCCACACCCAGCTCTAACGGCAGACAACAAATCTGTCTGACCCCTGCTCAAGCTATGCTGGAAGACTGGGACTTGGAAAACTCCATTTATTGATCCTTAAACTCAACAAAAAGCTCTACGCAAGAGTTGTGAAGGCCCCTGGCCTTGCAGCCACAACTGTGTGCACTGATGTCAGCTGGCTTCTCTCTCTCCAGGCTCGGTTTCTTTGTTCTGGGACGCTAAGAGAACTTCACGAGCTCTCTTCCTCCGAAGTCTCTCAGCATTTGTGATCATCATCGGGTGCAGGGGGTAAAAGCCAGAAAGACCTAAAAACAACAGGATTTTCATTGTAATACTGCACATGCCACGGCTTCCCAGAACTGAGATGCAACACCTGATCCACAGCACAGGCAAGAACCAGGCCAAGTTCAGGGTCTACTTCCAGACACTGTTCTTACTTAAAAAAAAAAAAAAGACAATAGTTCCATTTTTTTTCCCTCACAAAATCCCAGTCAAAGTCTTCTAAAGCAGTCCACAAAGGGGGCCTCCAGATTTAAAAAAAAAAAAAAAGGCAATTACATCACTACATCTTCCCCTCCTGTCCAGAGCAGCTTCCATGGAATGAAAAATCATTCGTCTTCTCCATTATCCTAGAGCTGACCCCAGTATAAAATCTCTTAAATTATCTAAGCTCAGAGATGGTTTACCCAGAAGTTTCTCCATAGGCTTAGAGAGCTGAGCCCCACAGCCAATCCAATGCCGGATCCGGTCCAGGTTGAGGGCAACCAGTTTTTCTCCGTTACTGTTGGGCAGTGGATCGTAGGAGCCCAGCTGCTCCACGAAGCGGCCGTCCCTGGGACACTTGTTGTGAGCCGCCACAATGCGGTAAAAGGGCCGGTTGGTGCAGCCCCCCAAAGCAAGGCGGATGGTGAGGTGGCCCCCACGGTACGCTTTGCAGAGAAAGGTTGCTGTGGAGAAATAACTGGTTAGGACGCAAAAACAGAAGACACAAAACAGGTCATATAAGGTAAAGGTACAATCCCTCCTTCTACGGCTGTGTTCTCAATTCCAATCTGTTCCACCCGGCTTAGGTACCAACTTATCTGTGAAACTTCGCCCCTTAACCACTCCATCCCGGACACGCCTCCTCCTCCCCAAACACGTGCAACACGGACCTGCCACTTGCTAGGTTGTGACCTTGTCTTCCCCTTAGCTGCCTCATCTGCGAAACGATGTCTACGAGGATTTTATGGTAAAAACGGAGAAAAGAGGCCGGGCGTGGTGAAGCACGCCTCTGGTCACAGCACGTTTGGGAGGCAGAGGCGAACTGTGAGTTTGCTGTCTAAGTTCGAAGCCAGCCTGGCTTTGCGTTGTGCGTTCTAGGCCAGCCAGTGTCACACTGTGAGACCCAGATTCCACTCTGAGGCAGTGCGGCCGCTCCTAGCCCAGGTCACCGCTCCCCGCACCCGCCCCGCAGCCCCGCAGCCCCGCAGCCCCGCAGCCCCGCGCACTCACTAAGGTGGACCATGGTGCGGCGACCAGCGACCCTCTGGCTGTCCCCCTGCACCGACAGCTCCGCAGAGCCTGGAGCCTGGAGGAGCGCCCCCAAGCGGCCGCAGAGGCACACGCCCCGACGCCAGCACCGCGCAAGATCCGGAAAGCCCTCTGCGGAAGCGGCTAGCTGCTCGCCCCGCCTCTTCCGCTCTCTCTTTCTAGGTCTACCGGAAGGCAACAGGGCGGCCCTGACTGCCTTAGACGATGCGGAAGAGGTGTGTCTGTGGGCGTGGGGCCGCTGGCTGTGTTTGGGGTGACTCGCGGTAGTGGTGGGGAGTGCTGCGAGGCTGCCGGTCGGTCTACAGGGGTGCCGAGTGCCTAGCAAAGACTTCTGTCTGCAGCGATTCCCACCCCGCCTAGGGCGGCAAGCGCTGACCTTGGAGCCCCGGACACCAGCCTGGTGGGCAGGGGGCCGCACCGGAGAGCCTGGGCCGGGCCGGACACAGCAGGGGACGAAGCTGCCTTCCTTTTCCTCGGGAAGACTTCATAAAGGACTGAGCGAGGAGCAGGATTAAAAATAATTTATTCTCTGTTTATTACTATGACTCTCACTTTCCCTTGTATTCTCCCACCCTCAGAAAAAATCGCTCCATTGAAAAGTGTGTGTGGGGGGGCTTTTATTTTCGCCTTTACTACATGTTCCAAGAAGTTAAGGGTATGAGTTCTTTGTCCTTTCAAGACCTAGAATTACGGCTTCACGAGTGAATTTTGCATCTCTGATCACAATGGTGTATAAAAGCCGCTCTCCTGATTTAGATCCTTGAAGATACCGCCGACTTAAAGAAATTAGTACGTTTATCTTAGCAAAGACCTCTTTTAGCTCTCCCAAAAGGTTTAGCCTCCAGGATATCCTCTGCTCTTACCCAGTGACACAGCGTGGCAGTATTCTAAGCCCACCTTTGAAGATGATGCCTTAATTCCCAAGCCCCAGTAACTGAAGCTGGTCAAGAACTTTGGCAATTGACGATAAGATTTCATCAGAAACTGCAATAGTTACACCATTATGCCATATAGCTACCCACAAATATGCCTATTAATTAGTTACATAATTATATAAGAGCATATAAAGTACAATGTGCTACATAAGACTCCAGGAACACGCTGATAAATTTTGAGGGTTTTTTTTATTGTGATCTGATTTACATTTAATAGCTAATGCGGGGGGAGGTCAGGTTTCATCTGGTGACCATTTGGGAAGGAAAGATGAGATGCTTCGGGTCCCATATTGAATATCCACTAGTAAGGGTGTCAGAAGGATGGATCTCCAAAGCCAACCATTTCCTGGACGGTGTGGATTTCTGCAAGCAGGGCTTCGTCTTTCAGTTTCAGCTGCAGAAACAGGGCAGGAAGAACAAGTAACTCAACACACCATGGAGCTTTGGAGAGTCCTGATTTATGAGGCTCTAAATGTGTGGGGATGGAATGGGCTTTTCCTGTATTCCTAACACCCTGGGAGCTCCCTTAAAGACGTAGACTGCTGTATTGTTTCCACGGGTGTGTGAGCTCTCGAGTCTGCATTCTCTTGTGACAACCACCTCATACCTTTATTGTGTACTTGTAGGCCTGCTCAGCTTCCAGTTGTCGTCCAACCTGAAACAAATCATGAGATCATGAGAATAAATGATTAGGAAGCACATTCATTCATTTCAGGGAGGGACTGCCCAAGACTGACAGTTTGTCATCAGTACAATGACCAAATCCAGAGCTCATCAAACTTCGGTTCTGGTGTTTTTTCTTTTCTTAGTTGGGCCCTCGCCTGCTCCCTGGACGGGTTCTGTGAAGGGACAGTAAGAAACACTCACTTTCAGGCAGACCAGAGCCAGGTAGGCCCACACTTCAGCATTGTAGTTATTCAGTGCATTGGCTTCAGAGAGAGCGTCCTCGGCCTCGGTGAGCTCCTCCAGCTTGGCAGAGGGGGAGAGAGAGGGATACAGTTCAGAGTGCTCTTCACTTAAGCCAACTGGAGTCAGCTTAGGTGAGATCACTATCCAACCAGTAGATGTCCAGGACCTGTACCAGTGCTCTTTCAGACAAAACCTCAAAACCCATCAGTGGTTCCAGAGTCACAGGCAGCATATATTTTATGTGTTCTTATATAATTATGTAACTATTAGTAGATATTATTTGTGGGTAGATATATATATATATGTTTGTGGGAGGAGGTATATATATATATATATATATATATATATATATATATATATGTTTTAAAGTTATTTATTTAGAGACTGGGTCTTCCTGTGTAATGAAACTCACAGGATTGGCTTGAAAATCATTATGTAGGGCAGACTGGTCTTGAAATTGAAACCACCCTACCTCACCCGACCAGGCATTGGGATTATAGGCATGAGCCACCAGGCCTAGATTTTTTTTTTTTCCTGTTTTGAAAGAATAGTGAGACAGGCAGGGGTGGCGCACACCTTTAATCCCAGCACTCAGGAGGCAGAGGCAGGCAGATCTCTGAGTTCGAGGCCAGCCTGGTCTAAAAAGCGAGTGCCCGGACAGCCAGAACTACACAGAGGAACTCTGTCTTGAAAACCAAAACAAACAAACAGCAACAAAGATCAGAGAGTTTCTAAGCCCAAGAAAAGATGAAGAGAAGCCTTCAACCATGCCCATGGTTTGACCCACACTTCAGGTCTTTCAGACATTTATTATTCAGTCAATCTACATTTTCTGATGATGTGTTCTGTGCTCACCTTGATGCTGAGAATAAAAATGTGTTTGTACATATACAGCCCCTTACTCTCAGAGCCCTCACTGGCAGATACGTAAAATAATAATAATAATGAAAAACCTAATACACAAAGAGTTCCATTACAAAATAAATATTTCTAGAGTAAAAGCACACTAATGATCTAGAGGTGAGAAAAGGAAAACATTACCAGATCTACCCTGACACTGAAGGATAGCCTCAGAGAAGGAATGTCATGACAGCGGACCACGAAGGGTAAGAAGGCGTTCCTTAGATGCACAAGGTCAAGAGATAAAGGGACTAACTACAAAGGTACGGGTGGGACTGAGGACATCATACACACAATCTTTTTTTTTTTTGAAACAAGGTCTCTCTCTAGCCCTGGCTGGCCTCCAACTTGCTGTGTAGACTAGGCTGGCCTTGACCTCATAGAGAGCCACCTGCCTCTGCTTCTACCTCCTGAATGATGGGATCAAAGGCTCTGTCGCCAGCCTCAGGCAAAGACTCTGTGAACATGATAGACATCAACAACCTCATAGCCTTGGTGGAAAGTGTCTGTCTGTAATCCCAGCAGTGGGTAGAGACAGGAGAAAGATGAGGTTAAGGTCATCTTCGGCTACAAAATGAGTTTGAGACTACCCTCGTACATGAGAATCCCATCCCTGGCAAGACAGGAATTAAATTCAGGCCTGGCCATGTTCATAGATTAGCAGGTGAGTTGTCCCATGTCTAACAGTTGCTTTGAAAGACTCCAGAGGGAAAGGTCGAAGCACAGATGAAGACAGTGGGGACCTCAAGTTAATGGCTGCCAAAGCAGGGTAAAGTGGAGGTATTTTCTGCTCTTTACGACTAAGGGTATTTTAAACTGGCCATGATAAAAAACTAAAAGAAAATCATTGATGCCATAGCTGGTTGTGTAGCCCTGGGAGCTCATTTCTGTCTGTTTATATCCCAGATTTCTCATGCTAGGTTTTCCTAAGTTTTTTTTTTTCTTTCTTTCTTTTTTTTTTCCATTTATTTTTATTTTATGTGTTTTGTCTGCATTTATGTCCGTGTAAGGGTGTTAGGTCCCCTGGACCTGGAGTTACAGACAGTTAAGCTGCCATGTGGGTGGTGGGAATTGAACCAGGGTCCTCTGGAAGAGCAGCCAGTGCTCTTTTCTTTTTGTTTTGTTGTTGTTGTTTTGAGAAGGGTTTCTCTGTGTAACAGTCTTGGCTGTCCTGGGCTCTGTAGCCCAGGTTGGCCTTGAACTCACAGAGATCCACCTGCCTCTGCCTCCCCAGTGCTGGGATTAAAGATGTTCACCACCACTCCTGGGTCAGCCAGTGCTCTTAACCACTGAGCCATCTCTCTAGCAACGTAAGTTTTTTTCAAGGATATTTTATTTTTCTAGTTCAGGCTTCAGTTCATGAACAACTTTGGGTTTTGTTGTTGTTGTTTTTGGGGGGTTGTTTTTGTTTTTTGTTGTTGTTGTTTTGTTTGAGACAGGGTTTATCTGTATAACAGCCCTGGCTGTCCTGGAACTTGCTTTGTAGACCTTGCTGGCCTCGAACTCATAGAGATCCACCTGCATCTGCCTCCAGAGTGCTGGAATTAAAGGCGTGCACCACCACGGCCTGGCCTCATGAACAACTTGACAAACAGTTTTTTTTATATATATATTAGAGCAGACTGCCATCCCACCACCATCACAAACCCCCACAATATACTTGGAGGACCAAGGAATCAGGGCCTGGTATCTAACCTCTGTTCTCTTACCCGGTAACAGGCAATTCCTAGTCCTAGCCAGGTCAGACATGAAGGTGATCTCTTACAGACTTGCATGTAGGTACTCTTTGCCTTTTCATACTGTCAAAAGAAAGTTCCATTAAGCATCAAACACCATGTTGCTAAGGTAACCATGAGCTTCTTGACAGTTTTGCTCCAGAATAATCTGAAATTGAGTGAGTCCTTGGATTATATTTTCATGGATACTTTAAAAGAGTAAGAAGACAGGGAAGAGATGAGGAAACCAATATGAAAGGGCAGGTTTTTTGTTTTTTTTTTTTTTTTTTTTTTTTTTTTTTACCTAGGAGCAGATCCAAAGATGAGGGCGGGACTTACACTGGACATTCTGGGCAAGCACAGTGGTTATGGGAATTCTGTCTAGACTTCATGAACTACATCTTTTCAGCTAGAAGTGGCATTGTGTGGTGGGATGACAGACATTGAGCCTCTGGTCCCTCTGAGAACCTGTTCTCCTGTCAGAAAAGTCTAAAGGTGCCACAGAATTCCAGCTACTTGGCTTCTAAGAGCTGAGAGAAGGGGATAATTTGAGGCCAGAAGTACAAGGACAGTTTTGTAACATAATAAGATGCCATTTTTTTTTTTTTTTAGTGTGGGCGAGGATGAGACAGGATCTCAT